CTCACTGTTTGCCATGAAACAATGGTAAGAATTCAGCTTCAAGGGGGATTGTTGGCGGGGACGGTTCGGCTGAAGCCTTGATCTAGGCACTGAGGGCTGTTCCCGTCAACCAACTATCACTGGATGTCAACATCCACCAATCCCCGATAGTCTAGTGGTGAGGATATCTGCTTGTCACCGGGGAAATCCCACGATTTAATTCCCCGTCGAGGAGTCTTTCTTTTGCTTTTTTTCCCACACCATGTGGGCAGTTCTTTTTGTTTTCGGGTTGATCTTGTGTTGATTAAAAATGTCGCGTGGCCAGGCCCTTTTGTGGTTCTGCTGGAAATGAGGGTCGGGGGCCCGGGCCACTTTACAGTCCAGGGGTATGCCATGTAGGGATCCTTGTAACTCGTGTGGAAATGAGCAGTCGTTTATCTCTTGGTTTCTTGGCACAAAGGCTTAAAGCAGAACATGGGTCAATTGCGAGCTTGAAGATTTTGGAGTCACGAAGAAAGGCAACGATGAAGTTCATCCAGTATGTGATTGGATTCGTATGTATCTCGCCTCAAGACATCTTGAGAACGACAAAGGAAATTATATACAGGAACAAATTTGCGCCCGGCTGACTACTTTGCAGACACGGCTCAACTCATTACAAGAAAGTCCAGCACAAAACAATCCGCGTCAGCGTTCCCACCAGGGAAAAGAGACTAGCACCCCCGGGTGGGTATCACCGACTCAGAAGAGAGCGGCCGAGAAAACTCGCAAGTGCGAGACGCTTAGCAAGCAGCACCGCTGCCGCTGGGGATGTTGGAGCACTTGGTGGACTTCTTGCCACCGGTGACGCTGACGCCGCTCCACTTCCAGTTGCTGCAGGCACCGGAAGCGCAGAGGATGTAGACGTTGGTGCCGGAGGAGGCGACGGAGCCGGTGATCTTGGAGAGGGTGAGGCCGGTGATGGGGACGCCGTTGGTGGGGGTGCCGGTGGGGGAGCCGTTCTCGTAGTCCTGCTCGATGACGATACCGTACTTGGCAATGTTGGAGAGGGTGATGCCGGAGTAGGTGACGCCGGAGACGGAACCAGTGGCGCCGGAGACAGTCTTGATGCGGACACCGTTGTCGGAGTTGACGATCTTGGAGTTGGAGATGGTGACGGTCTTGACGGTGTTGTCGGAGCGGCCGCCGACGGAGCCAATGGACAGACCGTGGCCACCGGAGCAGGTACCGCCGGTGAAGGTGATGTTGGTGCCGGAGTTGATGGCGAGGCAGTCGTCCTGGTTCTTGACGTTGGCGCCGGAAATGTAGACGCCGGTGGAGGAGCCGACGTCGAAGGCGTCGGTGTTGTGGCCGCCGGCGGAGTCACCAGCGGAGTTGTCAATGGTGACATCGTAGACACCGAGGGTGGTGGCGCTGTTGATGGAGAAGGCCTGGACGGGGGTGTTCAGGACGTTGAGACCCTTGATGTTGGAGCTCTTGAGGCTGTGGGCGTAGAAGAACTTGGGCTTGGTCTTGCCGCCGTTGCTTCCCTTGGAGTCCCACCAGCGGGAGCCCTGGCAGTCGATGGAGTGGCCAGAGGCACCGTTGATGTTGATGTTGGTACCGGAGAAGGAGATGAGGGGTCCCTCCCACTCCTTGTAGCCGAAGGTGGTCTTGCCCTGGAAGGTGACCTTTTACGGTGTCAGCTTAGGGAGTTATTCAGTAGCTAGAATCTTCAAACTTACAGTGGTGCCGGACTTAAGACCGGTCATGTCGAGGGTGGTACCGGCAGGGACGACGATGCCGTTGAGGATGATGCTGGTGCAGCTAGCCTTGCCCTTGATGGCGGCAGCGGCATCGGTGAAGGTGCAGCTGGCGCGAGCATCGAGGGGAGCAGCGATAGCAGTGGCGGCCAAGGCGCCGAGGGCGAGAAGTGAAGAAACCATTTTGTTGGAAGGAATTTGTTTTGGTAGTAGAGAGTGACTTGATACACAGTATCAGAATGCTTGTTAAAAAATAAGACGAAAGAATGAATGAGCCAAGACTCTAGAATGGTAAACTGGATGAGATCTGCGGGAGTGATGTCTTGGAAGCTTCTTGGCAATCTGGGGAGGAACTGCAGGATGGTTTATATCCAAATCGACGGGATCTCTTGGCACAGCCTTGCCAAGGCCTGTCAACGAACTGCTCCTGTTTACCATCCTCCTCTGCTCTCTTCCTATCCAGTACGGATACCTTGTTCCACGTACCGACTGCACAGTCGGTCGTCTGGAAGCATCATGGGAACAGGGAAACACTGGCCGAGTCAGTTAGATGGAAGATGGAGCTCGACCGGGCCCCAGGCCAGAAGCAACGCGAGTGCCGGGGATGGCCCTTGCTCGTTATAGTCCCATGCAGGCAGGCAAACCCCACCGATAACTCCTGAATTTCTGGAATCGCACTAGATTCTGCCCAACAGTGCCATCTCCGCGATTGACATAGACGAGCACCACTGCCACCATGAGCTCCGCGTCTGTGGACTACTTTCGTACGCCGCCAAGGCTAAGGCTTGTTGAAGCAGGGTCGTCCGGCCCTTGCACCGATCGAATCTAGGCACTCTATTCAATAGGTGGTTGTATCAATCCTGGATCTCAAGTTGCCGAGTTCCGTGCCGTTCTTCCAGCCGCAACTTTCCACTGGGGCTTTTCGTCCCATTGTGGTAAACATCGAACCTCCCAGCATTTGGGGGGGCATCATACAAAAGGAGGAGGGGACGGGAGCCGCGAAAGGGGGATTGCCTAGGAGCACTGGACGCGTAACGGACCAATTGTTCCCCAGGGATGCCAGTACCGGGGCGGCTGGTTGGTGGAAAGTTTATGGTCAGACAATGTGAGCTTTAAATTGAACAGAGTTCGACTGATATTGCGTGCCCTCAGGGTTAGCTTGGTTGAATCGTTGGTAATGTGATGGTCATGGCCTCCCGAACACGTATAGCTGAAGGGACTTATGGGAGTGGGGTGGGGGGTTGATCACATCACGGTACGGCAGTCGGTTGCAATAGAATTGACTTTCGGGGAGCGTCTACCAAAAAGCCACGAGAATTGGTGCTGCCATGGAACATTTCTGCCTATTCTGCCCATGATTGGCGGGAAAGTTCAGAGTTTCGGGCCCATCCTCAACTGTTTTGCTGCCCTCGAAACTTCCTCAAGATGGCCTAGTCATGTTAGCGCTGGCCCGTCACGCGTGCAGAATGTGCAGAATATTGCCAGAACCGGGTCCCCGTCGACGAGCTAATTTGAGTCTTGACCATGAAATGTCTAGCATCCAACACCTTCGGCTGCTCGCGCCTTTTCGCTTGACGGCGCAACGTAACTGATGCAGGTGTTTAACTCACTTTGACTTGGCAGATTTTCTCCTTCCCCCCTCTCACGATCCTGAAAGGGAATTAGAGTTTGCGCCTTTCTTCGTGTTGACCATGTTGGATGGCGGATGAAACACAAGTCATCTGAACGGCAGCTAGGGAGTTGACAGTCCTTGAATTTGCACCAGTCAAAACTCTGAATCTTCAATTTCAACGTCGCATCATGTTTGGTTTTTCCGTCCGACTTGCCGGCTCTCTTTCTACATGGCACCCTCAAGTCTCAGCCGCATATCATCATTCAATAGCAAACATGACATCGACATGACTCTTGAATAGCCGGCAAGCGGCACAAGTCTCTAGAGGCAAGACAACGTCCATCTAGATGCTTCAGCGGCTCCATCCTAATGATGAGTTGATGGGGCGCGCGTCCTATCTAGCTGGAATCGTTTACCCCAAAAATAATATGGAACTCGGCACTGACATGTATGCAGGTGGGTGAAGAAAGATAGGACCAACATACGAACAGAGTGCGATAAACTGGGGCGCGAGCGCCCAAATGCTCTTTATTTCCGACTCAATGCGACGCATCAGTTGTCTCTTGTTTCAACGGGCCTTTTTACATCAGAAAACTGGAACTCTCTGTTAATTTCGTACTACACCTCTCCTTTTTTAACTTTGAGAATTTTACAACGGACCGAAAAGTGACGATCACAGATTGGCAGAAAAGGTTCCAACGTGGAAGTTCCAACAACACTACAACCAATTCATCGCAGAACTGCAGAAAGAAGAATTAAGGGGCCCAGAACTTCGCCTCTCATTGCGGAGCCCGACGAGAAATGGGCATGATGGCAAATGGGATTATGGGACCACACGGATGATACAGCACACGTGCACTCATGGGAGACCGGATGATGGGTACTGCGGAATCCGGTATCCGATCGAGTTAGTACGGGACCCGTTTGCCTATTTCCTAATCTCTTGCAATATTCAATGTGCCCCCTGTTCAAGCAACTACATGCAGACTAGCCTGCTGAGAACCTCTAGACTCTCAGCGGTCTAGATCGTCGGGCCCAATTCAACTTCCAAGCAAGCAACTCCTTTTCTGGTGCGAAGTGCAGCCAGCGCACTCTCCGTCATGAGTCGATGCCCCAGAGACATGAAGCCATCGTATCTACGAAAGGAAGGAGCTTCGGAACTGCCGGTACTATTGAAGCTGTCTTGTCCTTCTTGGACACAATGTCTCGGTACTCGACCGGTAGATGCCAGCAACTTTCTTTTGCAGAAGACGTAGCTCCGTACATACGCGGAGAAGTGAAAGGCGATGGAAACCTCTGGTGGATCACAACTCCAATGAGCAAGGGATAATGCCGAGGACCACAACGCCTTGCCCACGGGGGGCTTGACAACAAACGGGTTGACAAGGGTACTCTAGCCGTCAGTATTTCGCCGACGGACTTAGTAGAGACCTGACTGATGGATGGATCCCACAACAGCTGATTTCTGATTCATTACAGGACGGAAACAGATGGAGCGTATGCACTCGACAATTTCCCCGTAGGTTAGACCGTTAGAGGCGGTGTAATTATCACGGGGAGCGGGTTCCAATTGTCCGCCGAAGCTCTCAATCTCTCTTTGGGAATGATTGCTCTCCGAGCAATAGCACTTACTAACCCTCTATTTACAGAATCTCGTATTTACTCTCTCAACCAAAGTTCCCAAACCAAATGTCATCACTAGGCCGAACCCCTTTCTCGACCCCAGGCAACCCGCAGAGCCTTACTTCCTCTTCGCTCGCCACCTTCCACTCCTTGGCCGTCTCGACTCTCGCTGCAATCATCATTACCATGCCCGCCTCTGCGTGCCATGCGTTGTGGCAGTGGAACGTCCACACGCCCGGATTGTCCAGCACGACTCTGACGACTGCCCACCCGTAGCCTTGGACTGTTACGGTGTCCCTTCTGAGCGGGTTCTCCAGAACACCCGAAGCCGCGAGTTCTGCTTCCAACTCGGCCATGTCTTCGGGTGGGTAGCCCGTTGGAGACTGCTTCAGTACGAAGAACTTGTGCCCATGGATATGGAACGGGTGTGCGCCGTCATCAAAGTTGCTGATGATGATGTTGACCGTTTGGATGCCTTGCGTCTGGTACACCAACTCATTCTCTGGATCGAAGGTCATGTCGTTTACGCCGGTTGTAGACGGCAACGTGTCATTGTCGCTTTTCGCGGCGTCCATGAAGCGATACAGAGCCGGCGAGGTGACGTTGGCGTGCCACGTCGAGGCGTTGAAGAAGCCCCGCGATAGACGCCATGCTCCTATTTCGAAGTTGGCGCGGAGGTACATTGTGGCTGTGACATTGGGTGCTGGAATTGCATCGACAGGTCTGAGTAAAGTTGTGTTCATGTCTCGACAGTCGACATCTATAGCTTCGTCCCAGCTCTTGCTTTGTGGTTCGCTGAGCTCCGATGCCGATTCATACGTCTTCTCTTTGCTAGAGAGTCCTGGTGTGGCATACCGGATGATCCCCTTCACTTCTGAATCGAGCCAGGGATTTTCTCGTGCGAAGCAGTGCGTGGTCATCCTAGCTCGCAACCAGAATGAGTTGGCAGTGGTGAGATTAGTCTCAATGACCACACTGTAGCGCTGTGCCGGAAGGATATTGAGGCGGTGGAAGGGTTCAGGGCGGACATCAGTCCCATCGACCTCGGTGATGTAGAGCGGATGCTCGTCGATTTCGATCTGAAATTCGGCAAAGGCACCAGTGTTTATGAACCTCAGGCGATGTCGCTCATTTGGAGCCAGGCTAAAGGTTTCCAACGAGGATATACGAGATTTCTCGTTCTGGCAACTCCATCCGTCAAAGTTAGCACAATCGCGATAGTTGCGCCCGTTGATGAGGCCACTCGACGGCACAGGCTCTTCATTCTCTTGGTCTGATTGAAGATAGTCCATCAACAACTCGGCCGATGTGTTGTGATAGTGGTCCGAGATCATGACAACCCGATCAGTCGAGTATTGGTCTCTGGTTCCCTGGTTTTTTCTCGGGTGGACGACGAGCGGCCCGACGAGTCCATCAGAAGCTTGGTTGCTGTGATGTGCGTGGTGCCAATACGTTCCTGACTGGTTCTCGACCGTGAACCTGTACGTGAACGTCGCGTTGGGTGCAATAGGGCACTGCGTCACGCCGACGGTGCCGTCCATGGAGTTCGTGCCGTTTTGATACATGCCGTGAAAATGAATGGCTGTGGCATTGACGGCTTCGTTGCGGACGTGGACAACAATGGTGTCTCCCTCGTTGCACTCAATGAGAGGTCCGGGAAACTGGTTGTTGATGAGCATCATCGGCCGAAAGATCCCATCAGGGTTGAAGATCGCATCGCTGATGGTCCAATAGTACTCTCTGATGCTTGGCACGGCGTTGAAGTCCCACGAAGAGCCCAAAACATATTCCGACGAGTCCCTCAATTGTGGCGATGATGGTATCGGTTCTTTGACCACATAGACCGCCGTTTGAGAACGATGCGGTGCAGCCGCAGGGTAAAGCAGATCTGATGCATAGAAAATGAAGAAGAATATGGAAACGCCAAAGAAACCTGTAGAGACTCGACTCAGTAAAGAGCCCTCTGATTGACTCCTCAGCAGTTGCGGTCTCTCATCATCATCTTGGGTAGGAAGAAATGGCGATTTCTCGCCATTGTCCTCCGTAGCTGAACTATAAGACGAAGATTCCAGATGGTCCAAGTTGAAATCGGTGGAGATCGTTAGAGAGGGACTCAAAAGCCTCTTTTGATCGCTTCCTCGCTCAACGTCGTCCATGGCGTGAATCTCATTGCGTCTTGACGAATGGACGGAATAACGCAACGCAAAGAAGAGATTCAAATTCAGACAAGAGGTTGAAAATGCGAACAAAATGCCGCTCACGAGCCGAACTGCCGTTCAAGGCAGGTAAGTTTTTGGAAAATGGGGTGGCGTAGCATTCTGTTTTGTTTCTGCCCGCTCGTTGCCGCCCTCTCGGGAAGCCGGCATGCCTGTCCTCTTACACGTGCGTTGGAAATGGCCCAATCAGACCTCACACTTTGACAACCTGCGTCTGCAATTGGAGTTCGGACGGTCCAAGTCGACTGAGGGGAAATGGATTCAATGCCATCCACTAGATCGAAAAGTACTGACAGGCTCCTTTTTTCGTCCCATCCATCTGTTCGTTTAATGGATCGACGAGCGTTCCCGTGCGCAGGGGTGGCGATGCTGTCAGCCTGTCAGGGATGTGACCTTCCCCATTCCTCGTCTCGATACTACAGAGTCACCGACACGGAGGTGCCCGACAGCAAATCATAGAGAATATGAAATAATCAAGGAGTCCCGGCCTTGAGGCTCTTGGTTTACTTTGTGCTCGCCACGTCGTTCTTTCAACCACTCGTTTGAAGGCCTTTTCAGCTTCATCATCTTCCACGATGCATTACGCAGTTGCCGCAGCTATCTTCGCGGCCGGCGCCCATGCTGCTGCCGTAGCGCCTCTCTGTGCTCGAGCGACCTCTTCAAGCTCTTCTGGAGGTTGGGAGACTCGGTACACTGCCACCGGCACCGCTGCTGTCGCTGCTGCTGCTGCCACAGCCAAGACTAGCAGCCCAACCAGCAACGTCAAAGGCAAGGCTTTCGACCGCTTTGTCATTATCTGGAATGAGAATACCGATTACGATAAGGCTATCGGTGATCGTTAGTGCTTCCTTGAGCCCTTGATCCCCTCAGAATCTGACCTGTCGCAGCCAACTTTGCTTGGCTTGCCAAGAAGGGCATCACGCTGTCCAACAACTTTGCCGTCACTCATCCTTCTGAGCCTAACTACTTTGCATCGGTTTCTGGAGATTATCTGGGCATGAATAACGATAACTTCAATCGCGCCGATCGCAATGTTTCTACTGTGTTTGATCTCCTGGACACACAAGGAATCTCATGGGCGGCCTACCAGGAAGACATGCCGTTCTCAGGTTTCGAAGGCATGGCATGGGTGAACCAACAAAACGGAGCTAACGATTATGTCCGCAAACATGACCCGCCAATCTTCTTTGACAGCGTCACTAGTTCGGAGCAGCGCCTGTCCCAGGTCAAGAACCTTTCCATGGTCTACCCGGAGCGATCACAGTTCCACAAAGACCTCAAGGCCAATAAACTACCCCAATGGTTATTTTGCACGCCGAACATGACTTCGGACGGTCACGATGCGTCTGTCACTACTGCAGGTGCTTGGAACAGGAAGTTCCTTGAGCCACTGCTGGAGGATAAGAACTTCATGAACAACACATTGGTTTTGGTCACTTGGGACGAGAATGAGACGTACACGCAAAAGAACCGCATTCTTGGCATTCTTTTAGGAGACTCAATCCCTAAAGAGCTCGTTGGCACTACGGACTCAAACTTCTATAACCATTATTCTGAGCTTGCTACAGTTGAGGCCAACTGGGACCTCCCGACCCTCGGAAGGTGGGATGTCGGCGCCAACGTCTACAAGTTTGTCGCAGACAAGACCAAGAGCGTCATTCGTCAGTGGAGCAACACCTCGACAGTGCCCGACCGCTACTTCAACCAGTCGTATGCTGGTTTTTTCAACAGCAAAACCGCGAAGCAGTACCCAAAGCCCAACTTGGCTCTGGACGAGAATGCAGCCGGCAGGAAGATTCTCGAGTCCATCAAGGCGACCTGGAAAGACAGCAAAGCTCCTACGTACTACGAGGATACTGTTCAGGTTTCGGACGGACTTAACCCGCCTCTTGGCTACAAGGCATAAAGTCTCGGGACAAAGCACCTAGTAGATGCTAGCATTGTAATGATAAATTTATTATTACGACTTTTAAGGAATATTCTCTAAGTAATTAAGTTATTATACAATTAGAGTCTAGATATATAGGTCTTATAGGATATACTTCTAATAAGAAATCTTGTTAAAGCCTATTCTTTCTTATAACCTTACTAGTTTTCTTTATTAGTTTTCTTTTCTTACTCTTTATCATTATCTCTATTATAATTCTCTAAAGTATACATCCTCGAATATGTGTACATGTATCCAAGATGATAGACTATAGAGACGCCAGAGGTACCTGGAGCGACAGAAGCAACAGTCGCGACAGTGATAGAGATAACAAGAACAACGCCGCTCAGAGAGAGGGCAACGGGAATGGCATCGGACTTGGCCGAGCAAAACCAACCACTCAGTATCTAAAATTCGTCACCCGGATGGTACACGGCATGCAGAATCAGCCCTCGTGATGTCGACGAGTCGTTCCACAAGGATGTTCATTGACAACGGCCCGAGCAGGGGAAATATCGAGTGGAGAAGAGATCGTCAACGGCTATCCCTGCATTAGGAGCCCAAAATGTCCTTCCTGGTCGGGAAGGTGAGAAATTCGTCTCGATTCATTGGCCCAAGATTGAGGGGTTATATTCTCCGGACTCCACACACGTGGTCGCTCTTGGCATCGCCTCTGGGCGAAAGCTTGTGTCTTGACAGATGTTTCTTGCTCCCCCACACCCCTCTTCGACTTCGATGCCGACTATTTCTCCACTAAGGGAAACATTTTGGGTATCACGGCATCTCTCAGCCGACTTTTTGGTTGTGTTGTGGCTATGCTGTATCGTCCACTAAGAAGCGCAGAAACGGCGCGTGGACAGAATCGTTGATGAATGGGAGACTGAGCCATGTGTGAGGGGCAAAATGCAGCCCGTCTTTTGCCGGTGTATCATTCCCAGGGTTCTGCTCCCGTTTCTCTGCAGCTTGAGCCTTCTGGATTGGAACCTCTCAACTCTGTGTTTCGATCGCCGGAGTTCAATGCGAAGTTGCCCCAAATCTCATTTGTTTCACTCAAATCAACAACCCAGTTCACCATTCCTAGCAGCCTTGATTCAGCCCGACAAGCCCCTTTCAAAGTGTTGGGTGGTGAACCCCTCGCTCAAATAAACTCCCCAACTCGCAGAACACATACATCGCCTCCACGATGGTCTCTCCCAAGCTTTCTCGTTTCCTCTCAGACTTCACACTCGGCTTCTCAGATGGCCTTACAGTACCATTCGCCTTGACCGCCGGTCTCAGCTCTCTTGGCCGCAGCGAGACGGTCATCTACGCCGGTCTCGCGGAGATATGCGCGGGATGCATCAGCATGGGAATTGGTGGCTATTTGGCAGCGCGGGACTCTTCACATAATGACTCGTCAACGGTGCAGCTATCGCCGGTAGATGAAGAAGAACAGGGCATGCTGTCGTCGGCAGGAAGACACAGCGAGGACGAATTCGATGGCGAGAAGAGCCTGACAGGCGGAGCGATAGACGGAGAGGAAACAGTGCTCCGATATCTCCAACCACTGGGCTTACCTGAGACAACCGTCGCGATGGTGATTGGGGCCGTGAGGTCTCGGCCGGGAGGGTTAAGCTGGGCTTCGGAGAGAATCGATGGCAACCAAGCTAGCCGACTCCACGCTCTTGTTGAAATTGACAACGTCGACAAGAGCCATCTGCTGATATCGCCAATCTTTTCGGGCCTGTCAATCGCTATCGGATATCTTTGTGGGGGGATGATGCCCCTGTTGCCGTACTTCTTCGCCTCGAGCGTCGGTCACGGGCTTCTGTGGAGTATCATCGTCTGTCTCATTGCCTTGTTCATCTTTGGAGCCGGGAAGAGCTGGTTATTGGGCGATAGGAAGACATCACGGACACGATGCCTATGGGAAGGACTTCAGATGACGTTGTTCGGATGTTGCGCCGCGGGGGCTGCGGTGTTATGTGTACGGTTGGTTGACCAGAAGTGGACGTGAGGTGGCATATCGATAGAAGAGAGTTGCACGTTGATGTGACCACATTCTTCAGCAATGAGGTGATCGAGCATGTGTCGCAAAAACGACGCCGTTAATTGCAGGCACCAATCAACGCCACATATACCCTACTACAGCATGCTAAAGCCCGTTGGAAATACTGATTAGAAGTTCTGGCTATGCCTTGCCCTGAAGTCATTGCTGAATACTACGAGGAGAGCTGCTGCGCAATCCGAGGCAGAGGACCGTCTGGATTTGTTAATGGCCAAGTGAGGGTGATTAGTGAACACGAATTGAAGGAGTGGCGGGGCTGACGGATGCGGCATGGGTTAATCACTAATCTTTAGTAATGGGCGATGCCTTGATACAGCTTGAAAATGCTCACAGCTTACGCTTCCAACTTCCAAAGTAATCTGATAAACTTGGGATTATCCGCTTTAAGATATTTTGAGAAAGCTCGGAGTCTCAGCCAAGAAGGCCCCTTACTTGATAGGACAAGGTGAACGAAAGAACAGGTGCTGTAGCGTAGGACGAAATCAGTTCCTCAGCATCTCACGAGGAATATCTTAGAAAGAGACAGCTATCAATACATGAGAAACGAGTAATTCTGAGACCCAGTTGTTTACGTCGAACATCAAAGATTCAGCATCCCTGATCGAATTGAATTTATTAAATCGGATGAAGATTTTTTGAGGTACGGGAATGCAATTCCAAAATATACGCTCAAGTTTTGAATCTTGGAACAGGCGCCAGTGATGCTTTTGTACTCGTCTAAACATCCCAATGTTCCATTCTCCATCTAGGCTACGGAAATCGGATGAATTGTGCTATGGTGACAATGCTTGCCATGAACGACATGAAGTAACCTAGATCCTTTTAAGGGTGAGCCAATAAACTTGTCGTCTTACTTGTGAGAAGCTCGCTAAGGGGAACTTTATGATCTTGACCGGCTCAGATGATCTTATCAGAATGACAAAACCCGTAACGCTCCGGAACAGACCGCGAGACTTTCAGACGAGT